GCAAAACAAAACAGAAAATTACCAACCCGACAACTTTGTTCTGTTCTCTGTTTCCTTCCACATACACTGCACTCATTGTGTTTCAGTTGTTGCTAATGATATGTCATAGCTAGTTTATTACTCTCACCAACTTTTGAAAAAAAAATGTATTTGTGAGCACTTTAGGCTAGTATAAACACACACACACATGATCTGTCATAAATCTTTCTCTCTGTGTCATAAATCTCTCCCTCTCTCTTTCTCACTCCCTGTCCAGAAGAGAAATAAACCATATATATATATATATAAAACACTTTTTATACCACGAAAAGAGTAAAAGAGTTGTTGAAATCTTCCTGCAACATAGAGAAAAACCTGAGCTGCTGCAATTACCTCTCTAAAGCACTTTTATAGGCACAATTACAAAATACTTTTGCCAACCACATCACAAACGATTATTAATGTATTAACTTTAGTTCCACGTTTGGAGCTTCTCCTGGGCTGGGTGTGGGGTGGGAATGTGCACTTTATGGTAACATCTCATTCGACCATCTGCTGACAAAGCAGATTTTAAAGCTTATCCATAATCATCCTAATTAGGCCATCAAATGTCAAGATTTGCTGTGTGAATTTGATAATTCTAGCCATCTCTGTGGTGCAACTGACATTGTCCACATCAAAAGAGTGACGGCCTTGGAAGCAATTTTCTTATGCTTATGGCCTCTCCCCTGCCACCGGCCTATATTGAATAAGTAGTAAGGAAGGTTTGCAACACTACCCTCACAAGTCTGGAAGCTCAATCACATCCAAACCTTTTTATAGACTTACAATACTGTTGCCTTTATACCTTTTTGTGGCTCTTAATTTATAATACAACCTGTAATATGTAAAGTAGACTGTGCACATATCTCTGTCTTCTACTAGATTGTTAGCAATTTATTTGTTCATCTTTGGTCCTCTCTAAGGGACACACTGTCCCTCGTACTCTAGCACAAATATTTGACATGATTATGCAAAGGCGGCCCCTGAAAACCAACATTCAATCCATCCCTCACCCATCCTGCAACCATACAACTGACTGAAAAGAGCAAAGAAAAGTAAAAACAAGGGGACAGCATGCTGCATGTTGTTCACTAAGGGATTTATTTATTTATTTATTTGCAGGGGAAGATTTGCCCTAAGCTAACATCTGTTGCCAATCTTCCTCCTTTTTTATCCCCCTGCGAAGCCCCAGTACATAGCTGTGTATAGTTGTAAGTTCTTCTGATTTTCTATGTGAGCTGCCGCCGCAGCATGGCTACTGACAGACGAATGGTGTGGTTCCGCACTTGGGAACCAAACCCAGGCTGCCAAAGCAGAGCAGGCCAAAATTAACCGCTAGGCCATCAGGGCTGGCTCAAGGGATTTAGATTTGTAAATCTATTGATTACCGTGTATTTGATAAAATACTATTGGATGAAGGTTGTTGTGATGGTTAATTTTATGTGTCAACTTGGCTAGGCCGTGGTGCCCAGCTGTGTGGCCAAACACCAGATGTTGCTGTGACGCGCATCCTGTAGATGTGATTAATATGTATAATCAGGGCACTTTAAGTAATGAGAGTACCCTCACTAATATGGATGAGCCTCCATCAGATGAAGGCCTTAACAGCAAAAACCGAGGTTTCCCACAGTAGAATGAATACCACCTCCTCAAGACTGTACCAGAACAAGACTGCAACTTCAACTCTCGCCTGAATTTCCAGCCCGCCCTAGAGATTTCGGACATGCCAGCTCCCACAATTGGATGAGCCACTTCCTTAAAATAAATCTTTCTCTCCATAGACGCATCCTATTGGTTCTGTTTCTCTGTGGAACCCTGACTAACAGTTGTATTTCAAAGCAGCTCCTTCCTTATAATATTCCTGAAACTTTTGCTAATTGAATATACCTGTACTCTTAATTTTGTTACAAGAAATAGGGGTAGGAGTTTGTATACTGCTTACTAATAGAAGTCAGTTTCTCTGCCGGTATGGAGAAAAGAATATTGTCAAAGAAACTCGACAACAATGGCACCTGTCCTGCCAAGCAGGGCAATTTAATACCAAGGGTTTCCAATATGAAGCTCTACTTGAGCCCGGAGTGGGCAGCTCACCTAAGGATTACAGCCTACACATTTTCCTAACGTACTTCACACAAACTAACAAGTCCCAACCAATTACCAGCAAAGAATCTGAGAAGCTAGATAAAAAAATTTCCTTTTGAAAAAGATGGAGCATGTTTGGGGCAAGGAGGAGGGTTTTACCAGCTAAAGCAACTCAAAATAGGAGGTTGGTGTGTCCAGTTTCCATTGCCTCATTCATCAAGAGAGTTTGTGTTTTGACTTTGGGAAGTCAGTTTTACTGCATGATGTAATGGAGAAAATAATGAAGATTATAAATTTTCTTTATGCCCATGTTTTTTTAACGACTGCTCGTTTATGGATATTTAAGAAGTTGAAGCAAAGAAACTATATTTAGTTTATTTTAATTTGGCCAAATGGTTAAGTCCTGGAAAATTTTGAAGAAATATACTGAAGTGTTTTTAGAATTAAAAAGTCTTAAAAAATAAAATAAAATAATAAAATAAAATAAAAATAAAAAGTCTTAGATCCCACTTGCTAGACCTCCCATGGGCCCTAAAGGCTGCACACTTTTCCCTGATGTTACATAACAGAACTCTGTACATCCACCATAAAAGTGATGGCTTTGTATTCAGATTCAAACTTGACATGTGGGCTGAGAAGATGGTACCTGAGACATTCCATTTTCAATGCTGAACTTCCCTAAGCTTAAAGGAATAACAGATTTTAAAGAGTTACACAGTTATTTAGTGCAAAATAAGTCCCGCTTTTGAAAGCTATTCACAGATTTTGGTGATTGCCTGTGAGTCGTGTTCTCTGTGATTTCTGGATACAAGCACAAGATGCGTGTGATTATAAAGCCCCTGCCCGGTTAAGGTGACTCATTTTCAAAAGAAACCACTGTGCTAAAAGCAAACGACACCTATTAACACACAAACTTAGTGAACATTCAGAGTTCACTGTGAAAAGAAATCAGCTGTGAAAGGAAAAATACATATTAATGCGTAATTGTCTCTATCAACTCTGCTTCACTCTTCCAGCCTCCTAAAGAAGAGGGTGCTACCTTGCTAAACCAGTTCTTGTGGGCTTTTGTGATTCTGACTCAGGAGGAAAGAGAGCTGGGGGAAAAATTGGAAACACACAGCCAGGGCTGGAGAAGACTAGGGCAAGTTTTAAAATGATAGAGGCACACAAGCAGCTATCTTGTGTGAGAACAGTGGATGAGAAAGAAAAGACAAGTGCTTAAGATATGTTGTTTGTTATTTATCTGCTTCACAGGGTTCAGGCTATGAGAATTTTTTAAAGTTATTTTGAAATTAGGTTTCAGGTACATGCCTGTGTGTGTTCAATACAGTACTACTTTAAGACTGGACCACGTGGATCACAGATTCATAAACATTACACAAAATACCAATCTTGAGCTATGGAAGTTTCTGAACACAATTCGAGTAACATTTGTGGCTACATAGCTATCTTATGAAATTGCAGAGATAAAAACCTTCACCAGTAAAACAACCTCAATCAGATTGTTGAGTTTAGAATGAAAACATCCTCACATCTCCTAGAACAGTCCAGGGTTAAATATCCATATCCTCTTTAAATTGACCAGTACATAACCCTAGATAGAAGAGTGTAATTTTTTTTACAAATAAAGTTTATTGTACTGGTTTTGGGATTGCATACTAATTACTGCTAAAAAAATTATCCTTTTGAATGCTAATAGGCTATAATCACTAACATCAGTAATAAAAATTCAAAATATTCATAAAACTGGGCTGAAAACCTGCACCCAGGCCCAGTGGGCCGTGAGGAATCTGGTCAATCTGTAACTTCTGTAACTTGAACAATCAGTTCTTGAGTAATTTACAACGTGTTTTAGTCAGAAAGAATGAAAACTCTCTCCTCTAATAATTTTAAAAAAGTAGAAATATCTTGCATTTTTCTGGCCTGTTTGATGTATTAAACTGCTTTCACAAAACTAATACCATGGTACCAATGCAACACAAAAGGCTGGAAAAGATGTTGCTCCTTTCCTTCAGAAAGTTAATGCACCTTTTCCACATTGGTATTTGCTCAAAGATTAAGCTTTGCATCTTCACTAGAAGCGTCTCCGAAATAGAAAGCCCGGACTCGCAAGGTTTCATTCATTCGGCCAACATCCCTGGAGCCCCTCCTTTGTGCAAGCCACTGTGCTCAGGGCCAGGCTGGGACACCTCGGTCAACAGGAGGCAATCCCCGCTCTGAGGGAGCCACCGGCCCCGCCAGGGAAGGGACCAAGGAGGAGTTCAAAACAACCTAAAATTTAACAGGGCGGCTGCACAGTTGACGCGGCTGCAGTTACTACAGCAAGAAGGACGCGGATCAGTCCATACACGCCAAGTCTCCCTTCCGTCCGGTCCGTGTCGCCCCGAAGCCCTGGGTCTAGAGAACCAGAGCTCCACACAGCTGGGTCTAGAACTCGCCCTCCGGGCCCGAGGGTGTCACGGAACAGAGCAGCCGGGAGAGATCAGAAGGAAAAGCAGAGGCCCAGGCAGCCGAGGGGACGCGGCCAGCGCGACCCCCGAATGAGCCACAGCAGCTGGAGCGCGCACCAGGAGCCAGCTCAGCCCTCCGCACGGGTCTTTCCGGGGAAGGGCGGCCCTCGGCGCCGTGGGCGTCACTGTCGGACTAGGGGGTCTGCGACCGGCGCGGGGCGGGGCGGAGGATGCTGCTCGCCCGGCGCGGCGCGGGTCTCGGGGGCGGGCTCTCGGCGAAGCCCCGCCCACGGCTCCTCCCCCCAGGCGCGCGAGCCGGTCCCGCGCGGCGCCAACCCTTTCCCGGGTCATCGCCCCTCCCCTCTTCCGGGCCGCGAGCCCCCCGCGCGCCGCCTCAAGGCCGCCTTCGCTCGCGCGCGCCCGCCCGCCCGCCCTCTCAGCGCGCGCTCAGCCGTCCGACGACGCGGGAGCCGCACGCGCCGGACGAGACTCGCCGCGTTCCCTGCCGCCCAGTGCCGGCCCGCTGAGGCGGCGCCCTCGGTTCCCGCCTCGGAGACGGTCGGGGCCGCCCGATCTGCAGCCCCCGAGCGGCGGCGGCGGCTGTGGTGAGGAGAGCGGGCGGGGGTAGGCGGACATGGCGGGGCTGAGGGCAGCGGCGGGAGGGGGTCCGGCGGCCCTGCGGCCACGTCGAGGGCTCGCGGGCGGGCGGCGCGCGGGGCCCGGGGAGCAGTGCGGATCGAGCCGGCTGCCTGGGCTCCGGCTCGGCGCGCAGGGAGGTAGGGGGTCGGGGGCGGCCGGCGAGGGCTGCCGCGCGACCCCCGGCGGGAGCGGGACGGGGCGCCGCCGCCTCGAGGCTCCTGCCACGTTTCCGCGGCGCGTTACCTTCAGTCCCGGGGTGGGCGGCGGCCCGGCGGCGGCCGAGCGATTTGTGGAGCCGGGAGCAGCTCGCTGCCCGAGGGGAGTCCGCAGCCTCGAACCCGGGCCCCCGGCGCCTGCGCGGGGGCGGCGGCCGCGGGTCGGCCGGGAAGGCGCCCCCAGCGCGGCGGCGGGGAGGAGGGGCTGGGCTCGGCCCTCCCCTGCCGCGGGGAAGCCCGCGGTTTCCGAAGTTGGACGCGCTTCCCGGCGGTTCCTTCCAGAGGGGGGAGATGTTTGGTGCCCATCGAGCGCCCTCCGAACCCCAGCGGGAGTGCTTAGCAGCGGGTTTGGTGGCTTCAGAAGTCCGGCTCCCGGGCCGCCCCGGTAGCGCCCCCTCCCACAGCCTCGTCCCGCTTTGTCCCGCCGCCGGGATCCCCGCGCCCTCAACCTTGGGACCGTACAGCAGGAGAAATACTTGTTTCTAGAAACGATCGCGATCAGTTTTTCGTGACAAGGCAGGGAAAAGTACAAAGTGAGCAACTCCTGGAAGGCAGGGCTTGGTTCTCTGGGTTTATGCCCGCCGCCGCCGGGAGCGGAGGAGCCCGTGGAACAAAGTAGAACTTAAGGAGCTGCCGCCGCGGTGACGACGTCCCACGATGACGTCACCGTGCGATGTTTAAAATGGGAGCTTTTCGCTCCAAGCGTGGGTGGAGGGATCGCGGCCACTCACTCTAGGCGCCGAAGGTCCTAGTGGCCCTGCTTGTTTCTGTTTCTCCCTTCCTGACTTTAGAGCTCTCCCTCTTCCACCTTTTGGTACTCCTAGAATACTGACTGGTGGGGGCGGGTTCGTTTTTCAGCTATTCAGGCGTCATTCCTGCATACAAACAAACGAAAAGTAATTGCGTATGACTCATCTGTGTTACAACCAAAAGCAACCACTAAGTGGTTCTTTCCTTCCTTTCTTCCTTTTGTTTTTTGATAAGAAACAGAGCGGGGGAAAAGGCAAACCAAACCCAAAACTCAGATCTGTAGATCCTAGTTGGCAAATTTAATGAATGAGAATGATCTAGTTAAGGATTCAGGACGTTTCTTTAGTGTGGTTCCTTCTTTTCTTTGGTGGGGTGGAGGTTGATGTAGTTTCATCAGCAACTTTCATGCCAAACCATATATTAAATTGCAGTGGGTTTTCTTTTGCGTCATAACTTAGAACGTAGTGGAATATGAATGTAGCTTCATAAAGTGGAAAGGGCTCACGGTTTTTCAGGAGGAAGCTGCAGAGCGGTTGTGGAGATCTGGGGCTGCCCAGTCCGTGGTGCCTGGGAGCTGGCTGTAGAAGGTGGATTTGGCATTCTAGGGTTCCAGGATGAAGCTTTGGGTGTCTTCCCATCCAGGCTCAGGGTAGCTGTGGCTGCCAGCACACCTCTCAGATAACTAAGTGGAATTTGTTTCACAGTGAGATGCCTTGTTTGAATTTGCACCGGGAGTAAAAGAATCGTATTATGAAGAGAGACTTTCAGAGCAGGTTTGAGGAAAGAAAAATGAAGTTAACCAAATCAGCTTTATTTTTTGAATGTGTGAGAAAACAAACTATCAGATAGGTTAGTCCGTTTTTATACTGAACATAGCAGAGGCTGTGTGTCTTTAATTGGCTCCAAAAAAGGTGATGTTGCTTAGTAAATGCAGCATGTGAATAACTCCAAGTTACTTACAGCAGCCAAGTGAATGAGCTCATCCAGTAAAGACGGAATATACATTGAAACAATCCCAGGACAAGATTTTGCCTTTATGGATTAATCAATGATAAATGAGATCTGCCATTTAAAAAGAGTTCTTCTTGAGGCAATTCCAGAATGCAGCTAAATCTCTGATTATTTCTTTTAGTTTGATTTTCTGTGGATGACCCTGAATTTCCACTCTTTTAAATATTGTTTGATAGAGCCACTGTTTTTTTGCCATATCTTTTAGGTAAATGTATCTCTGTTCCTGAAAGAATGCTTACAGACACTTAATGCTGTATTTTTTCTTCATGTATAGCAGCTTTGTTAAAATATAATTCACATACTCTGCAATTCACACATTTAAAATGTACAGTTCACTGGTTTAAGTGTATTCATAGAGTTGTATAACCATCACCATGGTCAATTTGGGGATGTTTTCATCACACAAAAAGGAAACCCTATACTCATTGACATCACTCCTCCTTTCTCCTCGTTCCTCCTAGACCACTAATCTACTTTTTGTCTATATAGATTTGCCTCTTTGGACGTGTCATATAAATGGAATCATACGGTATTTGGTCTTTTGTGACTAATTCTTTTCCCTGGCATAATATATTGAAGGGTCACCCATGTTGTAGTGTTTATCAATACTTCATTCCTTTTTGTTGCTGAATAATATTCCACTGCACGTACAAGTTTCCCCCGCTATCCAAAAGTAGTGTTCTTGTGAAACCTTTTGGAAGCCAAAATGGCATAAAGTGAAAAAGCAATTACCATTAATTTATGTGGGAATAATTTTCGAGCATCTCAGACCTAAAAATAACCTACCAAATCATACCAAATAACACATAAAATCTAAGAGAGCACTAACATAGTAAAAGGAGGAATTATATGATAAATACACAGCCTTCATAAAGTAGAAATAATGTAAGTACATTGGAGGGCTGAGGGTGGTGGTGGTGGTGTGTTAGGCTGAGTCATTTGGTTGTGGTGGTGGGAAGTAGAGGAGATGGGTGTAGGAGAGAGAAAAAGAGGGTTGTGTATTAACCTCTCTTGGTCAACTGAATCTATCAGGGCAGGCAGGCCACTAACATCTGCCACCTTCTGTGTCTGCCTGTCTCGATGTCGAAGGTTGAGAAGGTCGAAGTTTGTTGTTTGCTGTGGCTGATGTGAAAGGCTTGAAATACGACTGTGTGCGTGACCGCTTAGCCTCTGTAGTGACTTGCAGTAAAACAAACGCTGAACGCCATTTTTGGTTTTTGCCTTTTTTTCCTAAAAGTGAAAATACACCTTAGACTTCTTTTGGTTAGCAAAGCCAGGTACTATTTTAGGTTTTCTGTAAAAGTGAAGTGGCATAAAGCCAACCTTCGGATAGTGGGGGAAACCTGTATATTACTACACTTTATGGTCCACTCATCAGTTGATAGATGTTTGGGTTCTTTCCAGTTTGGGGCTATTATGAATAATGCTGCTATGGACCTTTGTGTACAAGTGTTTGTGTGGACATATATTTTCATTCTCTCGGGTAAATAGGAGTAGAAATGCTGGGTCGTATGATAACTATGTCTCACTTTTTTAGGAACTGCCAAAATATTTTCTATAATGGCTCTACAATACTGTGTTTTAAGGTGGACTTTTTTATGTTTTAAAGTTCAAATTATTTTACAGAATTTTAAACTTAAATTATTGTAGTTAAATATTGACACATTTAGTAAAACCTTTATACTAGTGTCATTGTAGTGCTTCTCTTTGAGTAATATCTCTAATTTTATTTTAGCCAGCAGCAACAATTTGGTGTGCTCTCTTGACTGAACTTCTTCACAAAGCTGAGTGTTTAAGATTCCTAAATGTACTTTATAATAAGGTCTTTATGGCATAAATTAATGCTTGTTTGTTCCCTACTCCAGATATGAGCCAGTGAAACACAAGATAAAATTGGAAGGAGGAAGGAGAACTCTAAAGGAGAGATGTTTTGCAGAGCTTTATTGTCCAGTTTTTATATTTTGTTTTTTTGAGAAAGACTCTCTTGTTTTTGCAGGGAACGATGAAGAACGAAATTGCTGCTGTTGTCTTCTTTTTCACAAGGCTAGTTCGAAAACATGATAAGTTGAAAAAAGAGGCAGTTGAGAGGTTTGCTGAGAAATTGACTCTAATACTTCAAGAAAAATACAAAAATCACTGGTATCCAGAAAAGCCATCAAAAGGACAGGCCTACAGGTAAAGGATTAGATTGGACAGCTGGAGTGGACTAAGTGAAAAGGCTGGTCAACTCCTGAAATGAGTGCAAGGCCAGAGGACTGAAGTGTGCCCAGTCCCTGCCTATCACCGTTTATCTGCACAATACAGAACTTTCTGGAGTGTCCCAGTATTTTTTCCTTAGTCATTTTAGACTACAAGTATTTGTTGTTGGAGTCCCACTGTGTGGACTTGGGAGGCCAATACTGTAGGCTTCTAGGAGTTAGTTGTCTTGTAATGATAGTTTGGCTCCTGACTTGAGTGCATTTCTCCATGTATCACAGGTACTTGGGGGTTTTCACAATTCTTGAGGACCTCTAAAACTATTGCCCGTAAGTGGGCATGGTAGGAGTTGACTAAAATGAGTCTCCTTGTATCTAAAAGTAAATTACATGTTACATATTTTTTGAAAAAATAAAAGTTTTATAGCAAACAGGAACTAAGATTATTAGACACCCAGTATGTTCTTGACACAGGAATAATTTCATTTGTACTGTGTATAATTCTTTATGGTAAAAGCCAGTATAATTATTCTATCAGTGAAGATAAGTTACCTGTGATCCACAACTGGTAAATATTAGCTCTGGAATTTGAAGTCAGGTCTAACTGACCTTAAATTCTTAGGGGCTTTCTATATACCACAGTGCAACAACTGCCTTGGCTCTGAGAGGGAAAGTAATTCTCCGTTGCAGCTGTTTTCTGCACTCTGGTTTATAAGTTACATTTACAGCTTAAAGAAGAACAGGCTCCTGTAGAACATGTCCTGGCATGCTCACTCCCTAGTATTTATATGACCACTTGGGAACCTGGGTTGAGAATGTTCTGCTAAACTCATCTGTCAAACCCTGCCCATTTGTGGATTTAGCCACAAAAAATAAAAGTGGAATAGTTGTGGCTATCAGACTACAGAAATTCTTTTATTTATGCATATTGCTGCCTGCAATGTGTCCTCCACAAAACAGCACTTATGTGCTTTGATGTAAAAGGACTTCCTTTCCGGCACTGAGCTCTGGCAAGGGCAAGACTATTCAAGGAGTCTACAAGGGAGGTGAAAATATGATTTGTTTATTTCTCATTTGCTAAAAGCCAGGTGAGCATGTGTGGGTATTAAAAAGAAAAGAATCAAAGTGATTGATGTATTTTCTCCTTCATTTTTATCCAAAGAGGTTCCCTAGTTAATTGGAAAATGTGGTGAATTAAAGTAGAAATGTAGATGTTCTGTACAAAGCAGACTCAAGTTACTATTTTTTATCTTCTTATTTGACTTTTTAAATTTTTTCTTGTATGTCTTCATTTCTGATGGAGTGAACAGCTTTTGTGAGTTAGCGCTCTTGAGGCCTTTTACACTGATGTAATTGACATTGGACAAAGGCTTTTGGAAGTGCCAAGCTACTGTACTATTACTGAAAAAGGAGACACTGTCAAGTAAATACTTAAAGGTCAGACAGTGTACAATTTCATTTCCATTAATTCTAAAAACTTGAGGAACAAAAGTTAGCCAAACAGGATTAAATTGGCATGTGATCAGAAGTATCATTATTGAGTCATTTTGAAGCTGTCTTTGAAGTAGAAAACTATTAGACTTAATGGTGGGTTGTTACTATTGTAAAAATGAAGAGAATATAGGATTAATCAGAGTTAGTAGAATATTAATTCCAAAGGTTAGGTTGGAAGTGTTCTTTTTCTTCTGAAGTGTTTATAAATTAAAATTATTTCTCTGCAGTATATACAAATAAGATGCCTATGGAGGGCAATTTGGCACTATTATGGGAATCTGTAAAAATATTCATACTTTGAATAGTAAGTCTTCTAAAAATCTATTCTAGAAACATAATCAAATACAGACAAATATGTATGCATATGGATGTTTCTTGCACTGTATAATTGTAAAACATTGGAAAGAACCAAATTGTCAACATTAAGTAAATGATAGATTATTTTTATGCAACTCTTAAAATGTTGTTTTTGAAGGGTTGTTAATGGATAAGTAGTCACAATATGTAGAGTGAAAAAGCGGCATAAAAATACACAAATTTTGTTGAATCAGTCTCTATTTAAGCATCTATATCTACATATACATTTTTTAAGCTTAGAGCCTATATCCCACTCATTGTAGATAATCAAAACATACATGTAAGATCTATCTCCTTACCCTTAACTGCTTTTGATCCTGGGGCACGTGGGACTTTTCAGTCAACCTACACAACATTAGAATCTGTAATACAGGACTTTTTTTTTTTATTTTGAGGAAGGTTAGCCCTGAGCTAACTGCTGCCAATCCTCCTCTTTTTTCTGAGGAAGACTGGCCCTGAGCTAACATCCATGCCCATGTTCCTCTGCTTATAAGTGGGACGCCTACCAGAGTATGGCGTGCCAAGCGGTGCCATGTCCACACC